AGTGAAATAAGCCAGGAACGGAAAGTTAAACACCACATGCTCTAAATCATATGTTGAAGCTAAAGACAAAAAAGTTTATTTCATAGAAGTAAAAAGTAGAACAGAGGTTACTAGAGGTTAGGAAGGGTAGTAGGGAGGGAGGGATAGGGAAAGATTTGTTAAAAGATATAAAGTTACTTCTAGATAGGAGGAATAAGTTCTAGTGTTCTATACCATTGTAGGATGACTATAGCTAACAATAACATATTATACAATTTCCAATAGCTAGAAGGAGAATATTCTCAACACAAAGATATAGTAAATGTTTGGATGATGGATGTACTAATTACCCTAGTCTGAGCACTAGCCATTATATATAACGAAACATCACTATGTGCCCCATAAATATGTACATTATGTCAATTAAAAAATAGTATTAAAAACTATAAAAAATAAGATTCAACGTAAAAGTGATTGAAAGAAACAAAGAAGTGCACATCCTATCAATAAATGCAGCCAAGAAGAATTAACTGTTAGAAACCTAAACTATAGCTACAAAATAGTTGAATCTAAAATTGAGAGAATTACAAGAAAAAACTGAAAGCAACAAAATTGCTATTGAAAATTTGAACAAGACCCTCAGAAATGAAATCAAGCAGACAAAAAATAAAGATATTTATTTTAGCACTGTATCAAGAGGTTTGATGTAATATACAGAGAACTTGGTCTCCAATAAACAGAGGTTCTACATCATTTTGAAACGCATGTGCAGCAGTCATACAATTTGCTCATCAACCTGGCCACAAATGAAATATTAGCAAATTTCAAACAGTTAATTATATATGCAAAGTTTACTAACCATTATGCAATAAAATTAGAAGTTAACAGCTAAAAGACAGATGCCTGAAAGCAAACAATCCAAGATGAAATAAGCATCCAAATAAAAAAACAAGCCCCTTGTACACTTATTTCCACACAATTTTTTAAATAAGAAATCAAAATGGAATGTTTTAATTTAACTGAATGAGTGCAAAAAATCCCCAATAAAACAAAATTTTAAATATATTTTTACAAATGCATAAAGAAAGAATTCATAAGGATAAAAGCAGAAGTTAATGAAAGAGAAAACCTGCCCCTGCCCCGAGCAACTGGTGGTTGCTCTCGCTGGTTTTCCCAGGTAGCACCTGGGACTTGCTAATGGATCTGGGTAGCTGCTTTGTGGTCTGTGTTGCACAAATGGCATCTTTTAACCGAGCACTGCACTTGATCAGCTGAACCAGAGGTCCCAGACTTCTAAGGGCATCTCAGGCAGGTCAGAGTTTTGCCATAATCCCTAAAGTGCAGGAAGTGTAGTCTCTCATTTTTGGCAATTCCTTACATTATCTCCTAACCTTGAGTTGACATTCTTCTCAAAACAGACATCAGAATATCCCTCATTCTGAATATACTAGATGGCTTTCCTTTCTTTTAAATTGCCTTTGTGGAATGAGAAATTTCATGACCTTTTCCACTCCTGGTGGTAGATTTAAAATGATTTGAAAGTGTTGGAAACAGGATATGTGCAAAAGGGTAACTGTCTTTATTTTATTTATTTTTTTACAGACTGGGAGTTTAAATGGGTGTTCCGAGTAAAGGATTATATGCAACATATTAGAATGTGTAGATTGTTTAATTACATTTTGCTCATATTATTTATAAAAGAAGGAAAAGATAATTCTTCCTGGAAGGTCTTAAGATTGTTGGAAGTGCATGAAATTGTATGACAAATACTAAACGAGTGCCTGCTACATGCCTCCTACTGTGCTAGGTATATAAGACAGACACATACTGTAATCTTGTGGGAGCTTCCAGTTCTACTGCCTGAAGCATCCCTTTCATGGAAAGGTATTATTTGGTTGTGGATTAGAGAGCTTAGAGATTCTACTAGGGCTAATGCATATGGTAGCCTACTGAAGTTGGAATGCAACATGCACAGCACTTGTTGAAGCAAAAGCAGTGGTTCCCAAGCAAGGCTGACAAGAGCACCATTTTCATAAATTCACCATGGTCTAAAGTCTTGGAGCCACAGTCTTGGAAGTCTAGAAAATGATCTTATCAATACTCCTCAAGAGCAGAGATTTTCAGTGACATGCTGATGCTAATTTCACACACTACTGATTTTGGAATGCCAATTTCCCACTTTCCTATGACCAGAGTCATCCTGTTCTCTGTCTACTGCACTGTTTTTCCAGTACTGAGCTACTGGAAATAAGCATCCAAATAAAAAAACAAGTCCCCTGTACAATTTTTTAAATAAGAAATCAAAGTGGAATGTTTTGATTTAACTGAATAAGTGCAAAAAATCCCCAATAAAACAAATTTTTAAATATATTTTTACAAATGCATAAATAAAGAATTCATAAGACGTTGGATTAGTCTTCAGAAGATTTCTTGGAGGGCGTGGAAACATAGTGAAGGGAGAGGGAGAGTTTGAACATTTTCATCTATCAGGAAATTGCCATGACTAATGCTTCTAAGCAGACTAAAATTTAGTTTGTATTGAATGTGAATTATTTTATTTTTAATTTTGTTTTATTACTGTATAAATGTATGTCTGATTTGTATTAGTACTGCTATATCTTCTATTGCCAGTACTACTATAACTACTACTGCAGCAAGCAGATATAGGAGTTATTCCTGCTAATACCTTTCCATATATTAACTCAGTCTTCAATACTTTTATTATCTTCTTCAGTTTTTAGTTGAGGAAAATGAGGCATGAAAAGTTTAATCGTTCAAAATCACCCAGCTGTCAAGTGGCAGAACCAGAATTCAAATCCAAGTTGCTTGTCTCTAGATTTTGATGACCCTATCTTAGGTCATGGTCTCTCTTAATCATCTTTCAGGAAAAATTCAATCAATAATTGTTTATATGCATTGTTAGACTTACTAGATCAGAGCTACAAGTATGAAAAGCAAGATGAAAAGAGCTCAACTTCCTTTAAGCAGAAGTCCTTTCCTCTTTAATCCTTAGAACCTCAAATGAGGCAGGAGGAGAGTTAAAAAAAATTCTTTAATTAAATGTAAAAAAGGAACTGAAGTACTTTCTGAAGATTATTGTCTAAAACAAAAGGTGAATCATGGAATTCACGGGTCTTTTTACAAAGGGAGAATTTAGAGGTCATAAACATCTGAAGAGTTTTCTAGAAGTTTGGTCACTTCTGAATTAGAGAAGTCAAGACTTAATCACCTACTCAGGAAGGCATGGCAGTCACAAAGTTGGGGAAGGACTCAGAGGGGACAGGCATGGAAGGACGTGGAAGAACAACAGGGAAACAGGCAGTACAATCAAGTATTAAAGCAGAGAACCTGGTGCACAGCTGAGGCTCAATAAATGCCTGTTTAAAAACAAACAAACAAGAATCACACTAAGTCATCAAGTCCCCTGGATACTCTTCTATTCAGTGACCTCCTCTAAGTCATTGTCCAAAAACTCAAAGGGCATCTACTTCAGACAACTGTGTGTGTTTTCTATGTTTGCTGATTTAGGAAGCAAGGAAGGGTGTGGAAGACATGAAGACGATAAAATAAGCTTGTGGCATTGGCAATTGGGATATATCATACCTGTAACAGTCAGACTAAGATTCATCATCATGCATTTACAGAACTCAAAAGTAACCACTGGGGCTCAAATGGCGTTTGAATTCAAAGTTCTAAAGTGATGTATGAAGAGGGTGGTGGTCCTAACACCTGAGAGAGATGAGAATGGAAAGGGTTGAACTTTTCCCTGTGCAAGGGAAAAGACCCTGGGAAGTGTGTGCAGGTGGTATATGGTCAAGTGGAGGTTCAGGCTATGGTGGAAAGGCCCCTCCTTTAAGCTGAAAAATTTAAATTTGAGCTCCTGCTGTGTGCTAGGCCTGTGGTCGGTGCTGAGGACACAAATGTAACCTGTGCTTTGCTAGCCTCTAGTCACCAACTAATTCTACCCTATTCTTCCTGGGCAGCCAGGCGGTACCGCACTGGGACTCATGAATGTGTCTTACACTGGCCTGCCTCAGTGAAATGTTTTCCCAAGACCTCCTCCACCTGTTACCTTGTGAGAAGTACAGATGGTCCCCAACTCATGATGGCTCAAATCACAAACTTTTGACTTTAAGATGGTGTGAAAAAGATAGGCATTAAATAGAAACCTTACTTCAAATTTCGAATTTTGATCTTTTTCTCAGCTAGCGATATGTGGCACAACACTCTCTTGTGATTCTGGGCAGCGGAAGTGAGCTGCAGCTCCCCGTCAGCCACGTGACCATGAAGGCAAACAATCGATTCTCTGCAGTGTTCTGTGTTGTCAAATGATTTCGCCCAACTGTAGGCTAACGTAAGTGTTCTGAGCATGTTTAAGGGAGGCTAGGCTAAGCTATGGTGTAGAGTAGGTTAGGTATATTTAATGCACTTTCAATTTATGGTATTTTTCAACTTATAATGGGTTTATCTGGTTGTAACCCCATCATAACTCAAGGAGCATCTGTATCTTCTGCCTCCCATGCCCACCACTGAGTGACCCCACAAGACCTGGGCATATATACTCCCAAACAGTAGCATTTCCTCTACTGCTGGGACATGTCTCTTGAATTTCCTAAAAGGATCATGTTCTCTGGAGCCCACAGTGTGCCAAAGCCAATGGTTTCCATATAAAGGGCTGGAAAACGTTCCACTCCATAGCCATCTCTTGCCACACTTTGTAACCTAGAACCCAAAGAGGTTTCATGGCCTTCTGGCTGAAAATAACTCCTTCACCTCCTTGTGGGAGGCTCTTGGCAATCGTTCCTTGGGAGGTGTTGGAGTGGCAACCTCTGGGACAAACCTCAGGCTCTCCTAATTGCTGTCCTCACCAGCACATGTACTTTTCTGTCCTTCTTCAATGTGCTCTTGCAAATTTTCACCCGCCCACCACAAATGTCTTGACCCACTCAAATTCTGGTGGAGATCTCTTGTCCTACTAGAACTCCTCAACACAAAGATAAATAAGACCTGGTTGTACTTACCAAAGCATCTGCTGGGCCCTAGATGAATTTCTGTTGTGTTACAAAAAGTCTGAGGGTTGGGGCAGCTGGCCAGAAAGGGGCAGCAATTGAGGGTGATGGAGACACCAGCACACCTGACATCCGAGGAGCTCTTTTCCACATCTTGCATCTGCTCCTTACCAGCTCTGCACTCTCCAAGAAGTCACTTTACTTTTCACCTTCAGTTTCCTGATTTAAGAAAGGAAACAAAACCTCTACCTCATGGGGGTTTATGATGATCAAGAGAGTTGTGCATGTGAAAGGATTTTGTAACTGGCAGACTCCATCTGCCACCTACTCAGGCAGTTAGTGGCTTTCTCCTCTGCTCCCAAAGCCCCTGAGCTTCCCTCTGACACAATGTTTATCTCACTGCAGGGGACTTGTTTACAGAACTGATTCCCACAATAGACTGCCAGGCCCTTGGAAGCCAGGGTCTCCTCCCATCCATTTTTGGATTATCTGCTCCCAGCATGGTGCCAGCCAAATAACAGACACTCAGAAAATACACGTTGACTGACTACAGGAGTGAGTGATTTAGGTACAAAATTTAAATTATACTTCCGATGTCCTGAACAATTTTGGACAAGTCACATCACCTTTAGGACTCATTTCCAAATTAGCGGTAGGAAAAACACATTAGACTAGTAAACATCCAGCGAGAGTTAGCAAGTTATATGATTTTATACATATTGTATAATTGCAGCCCAGAGAGTCCCTAAAGGGGTTGAGTCCAAATTCTTCCATTGTACAGATGAAGAAATGGAGGCTAAGGAAAGGAGTGTGATCTAAGACCATCCAGACCAGATCCAGATGCCTTGGCCATTAGTTCAGTGTTCTTGAGGCCCCCTTTGAGATCCTCAAATGGAATTAACACTGTTAATGAAAGATGAGTTTATAATCTAGAGCAGAGTGTTGTGTTCCAGATAACAGATCTGTTCCTGGCAGAAAACAGACACTCTGGTCAATGGGGAGATAATCCTTAATGAGGAGCCATGAATTAAGAACAAACTTTCAATATTGGTCAAGGTGGTTTTAGTTTCTCTGAATGAATCAAACTCGAAGAGCAGCAAATGGATTCCCATCAGCCACCGCCCCCGTGCTGAAATTAAATGGCTTTGTTCAGCAAGATAAATACTTAGGAAACTTGACAAAGCCAGGTGGCCTGTAAGGCGATGCATTGCAAAGAGAAGAGGTCGGGTAAATTAAAGAAACGTCGATTCCAGAATCAGTCATTCACTCACTCATGCTTTGCGCTCTTAGTGTGAGCCATGTTTTATGCTAGAAACTGCCGAGAGAGTGAGGTGTGGTCTGTGCCCCCTCCCTCCCCAACCCAGGGCATGCCACCTAGTTGAGAAGAGGTGAGGGGCTGGAACAGACAGCACAGGGAAGGGCTGGGCTGGCTAGACTGCGGGCAGTATGCTGTGTGGGCGTGGCAGTAGGCGTGGCCTGTCATACCTGTGGGGTGGGAGGGGAGAGAGTAACAAGTCAGCTAGGAAAAATGCAGACTTTTAAAAAATCTGCAATAATAAATGGCTGTTTGCCTGTTAGGCAATGCGAGTGGAGGGGGGAAATTTTTCCAGCAGCTAGAATAGAGGCCTAAATCAGCCTGGCACATTAAGGCAACTGAAAGGAGTTTGGTGTGACATAGGGCAGGGTGGGGATTGAGAGGGACACTGGGAAGAGGTAAACAAAGTCCTCATGACTTCAGATAAAAATATTCATATTTTATCTTTGTGATCAAAGTGTCTTATATTAGAGTTCATGGATGAACTTCAAGGGATCCATAAACCTCTCGAAATTATACATGCATTGTTGTGTGTCTATGTGTATGTAAATGTTACAGAGAGGGCAGGTATATCTTCAAATTTACTTATTCTCACTACATCCTTGACACCACACCCTCCTAAAACACACATGACATTTAAAACCAGCAGGCCAGGAAATAATAAATTACTAAAGGACTTTAAGAAGGAGGTAGTGCTGTCAGAAACATCTCTAAGACTGATCTTTCCAGTCCTAGTATGGAGGGTGCACAAGGGAGTGGAGCTGGAGGCAGGCAGACTGTGGGGAGGATGCTATAACAGAACAGGAGAGAGATGGTGAAGATGAACACAGACAGTGTCAGTGGTCGAAGAGGGGAGCCCTTAAATAATTGACTTTTTAAGTCGCATATTTTTATTACTTTCAGACTTGAAGATGGTGTATTAGATTACTACTGCTGCTGTAACAAGTCACCACAAACTAAGTGTCTTAAAATAACACAAAGAGATTATCTTATAGTTCCGTAGGTCTCAGGAGTCCACCTTGAGGGTGTCAGCAGGGCTGTGTTCCTTTCCAGAAGCTCTAGGGGGTAAATGGTTTACTTATCCTCTCCAGCTTCGAGAGGCTACTCCCATTCCTTGGCTTGTGCCTCCTTCCTCCTTCTTGGAAACTGCATCGCTCTAACCATTCTTCCATAGTCACATCTCCCTCTGGCCACAGCTGGGAAAGGTTCTCTGTTTCTAAGGGCCCGAGAGCTTAGATTGGGCCTGCCTGAATAATCTCACCATCACTTAATCACATCTGCAAAGCCCGTTGTGTTGTGTAAGGCGACATAGTCACAGACTCAAATGATTGGGATGTGGACATCTTCGGAGACCAGTATTGTGCCCACAACAGATGGGGACTCTGAGAAACACAAAGGGGAAGTGTATCATCTGAGGCCTCACAGCATGCAAGCAGCACAGTTGGGATGAAGGCCCAGGTCTTTTGAGCCTCAGTCCTAAGCAGATTCCTACTTTGAGACAATGAGGCCAGGCATATTCTGTAGTAAATGCAACTGAGAGGATGATGCTTGCCTGGGTTCTTTCCACCCACTCTCTGATGCCTAAGAAGTGTGCTGCTTCCCATTTCTGGACCATCATGGCTGTGACATGGCCCAAAGAAAGGAAGTAGGCACGATTTCACTTCTGTGCTGTCTAATCTTAGCTAGCACTGACCAGGTCTGCAAAATTCCCTCCTACAGTAGTTTAGCTTTGTCATATAGCATCACATTTCAGTGATGAGAACTTATCTAGGTTGGGACTGCAGGGTACATGTCATGGTGCAAGGAAAGAGTTCCAGAATTGAAGTTGGGAACCCTGTGTGTTGTCCTCAAGTCTTCTACTGTCACATCAGGAGACCTGAAATGTGTCATTTCCCCTTATTTGATATTCAATATCCTCCCTTGTGAAATTAGAGGATTAGGCTGAATCTAACATTCTGTAAGTGTAGACTATGGAGATGATTTCTGCTTTGGTTGGCAACTGAAGTGGAATAGATTAATGGCAATCCTATCAGAAGACCATTTGCTTCTTTGATTCTCTTCCCTTGATGCTGCCTTGGAGCTTGGCATTCAACAGTTCAGCTGCACTGGACTGTAGCAGCCAGTAATACCAGATTTCTATAGAAAAGAGGGTCTGTGCAGGCTCTGAAGAAGCATCAGAACCACAAGCTCTGACGGATCTGATACACCATGCATGGCTGTTCATCAAAAAACTTCTGGCTCTGAGCTTTCTAAAGTCCCTGCTGGAACAGATTCATGCATGTCTCTGTGTCTATATGTGGGTGGCATACATGAACACAATTTCAAAAATCTAAAAATAGCTGATGTGGTTTCTCAAACACTCTCCCATTAGTCTCAAGAACGAACCAAAAAGGAAGTGGAAAAGACAGGAATAGACCTCATCAAATTACCTTGGTTTTGCACTAGTAGGCAGGACATTCAAGAAGGTAAAAAGCACAGATTACAAAAAGGGAAAAGGGTTAATAAAAGAAAGGAAGAGCTTTTCAAAGCCAACCAAAAATATAAGCCATTTTGCTAATAAATTGCACTGGAAATCAATGGTGAAGTTTCTCTTAAGGTGAAGGAAAAGGTACCCACACCACCCTGGACAGAAGGCTTATGAAGTTGAGCTTCAGTTGCTAATGTGTTATGTGGTCCTCTGGAATAGGGCAGAACTCTATGTTTCTTGTGACTGTGCTGGATGAAAGATTAAATAAATGAATTATTCTACAAAAAAAAACAAAAAAAACAAAAACAAGTATGCATCAGAAAATTCCTGCCCAACTAGCTCCTGCTCAAACTGACAGATTTTCATGTTTTATCTTTGGGGAACTGCAACTGTGAAATTCTCCCTCTCTCTCTCCCTCTCTCTCAGAAATAGATTAACCATTCAAAAAAGTAATAAGTTTTTAGCACAAGAACAGAGACATAGACTAATGGGTCAGAAAAGAGAACCCAGATAAAAATCATCATAATATTGCCATTTGAATTTGGACAAAGCAGACAAAAACATACACTGGGGAAAAGAATCCCTATTCGATAAATGATGCTGGGAAAATTGGTCAGCCACATGTAGAAGACTGAAACACGATCCGTACCTCTCACTGCTTGCAAAAACCAACTCACAGTGGATAACAGAATTAAACCAAAGGCATGAAACTATAAGAATCTGGAAGAAAATGTTGTAAAAACTCTTATAGACATTGGCCTAGGCAAAGAATTTATGATAAAGACCCAAAAAGCAACCACAGAAATAACAAAAATAAATAAATGGGACCTGATTAAATTAAAAAAGCTTCTACACAGCCAAGGAAATAATCATTAGAGCAAATAGACAACCTACAGAGTGGGAGAAAATATTTGCATGCTATACAGCTGATAAAAGGCTATTAACTAGAATCTATAAAGAATTCAAGCAAATCAGCAAGAAAAAAAATTAAACAACCCCATTAAAAGGTGTACAAAAGACATGAACAGAAATTTTTCAAAAGAAGATAGACTAATGGCCAACAAACATAAGAAAAAGTGCTCAACATCTCTAATCATCAGGAAAGTGCAAATCAAAACCACAATGAAATATCACTTAACTCCAATGAGAATGGCCTTTATTAGAAAGTTCCAAAACAAATGCTGGTGTGGATGCAGAGAAATAGGAACATTCATACATTGCTGGTGAGATTGCAAACTAGTACAACATCTATGGAAAGTAGTATGGAGATACTAGTAGTAACTACTGAACTTAGCGTATTCTCCAATACTTCTCTTAGTTTTTACTATATGTGAATGAACCAATAACAGAAATAGTATTCTCTATGTTTTAAAAATTATAAATAGAAAATAAAGGAATACACGTACACTCTTTACAACTTGCTCTTT